ACACAGTGATTGAATGTAAATCATATATATATATAATTTAAAAATAAATTTGGAAAACATAAACACTTACTAATTACCTTTATGTAATCTTATTATTCCATGATGTCTTTTGTTAAATACCTCTCAAGAGTTTGAAAGTCCTGGATATTCATTTTCCCTTCTTTCTTAGAAAATAGGTAAAAATAAACTGTGACTGTGAAATACGGTTTCAAGTAAACACACATAAAAAACATTGAACAAACAACAAAATATGTACTACTCAGAAGTTGCTGTGAAAATATTCTCAATTCAAAAATTGTCTAGGGCTGGACATGTGTCTTTGAGTTTAAGGGAGCCAGATCTCACATGGTAAACTATGGCTCAAATCTTAGCCCCAGTGGCATGAAAAAACACATCAGGTACGTGAGAGCACACGCCATATCCTGACTGGATGAGAAATGGAGAAGAAGGTATTGTGGTGAGACCACATTCCACTGGGGAATTCCTTTTCTTCCCCCACTCTGGTGACCACATGCATGCACTGGAAATTTAAAAAGAAAAAAATTTCTCCTGCTTGCTCTGTGATATTTTTTTTCATTTTATTTATATTTTGTGAGAGGTTTTTGCTATAGGGAGTGTGTGCTCACCAGAAAGACAGAGACAGACAGAGAGACAGAAAGCAAGAAATCACCCCCTGGGGGGATGGCCACACCACAATCCCCCTCCCCTATTCTCCTCTCGGGATCTTGGGCAAACAAGCCCTTTATGGATCCTGACCCTTGTCTAGACATCTTGAGATACATAGGTTCCAATAACAGAATCCTGCAAATGTCATTATTAACTAGGAATATATTAGAAAAAGATGCAATTAAAAACTTTCCTACAATAAGAAAATAGAGAATAATGAAACATTCTCAGTCTGGATTGTGTGTGTGTGTGTGTGTGTGTGTGTGTGTGTGTGTGTGTGTTGTTTTTGCTAGAGGGCACACTGCACTCGTCCGTCTGTCTGTAACAGGGGGAGACAGAGCGAGAGAGAGAGGCAGAGAAGAAAGTGCATGCTTCTTTCCATGCTGCCATCCTCTCTCCTCCACCCTCCCTTTAGGATTCTGGGATACACACACAGATGTCCAGCATGTTTCTCAAGTCACTGGGTCTGTGACTTCAGCAGTGCAATCAACCATATGTAATCTGGCTACCTTAACCAGGAGGCCATGGAGCTGGGCCATCAACGATATATTTTAATTCTGCTCACAGTAATCTGAAATCACACCGCTGGAAAGTGGAGAATTCAAAAAGTCTCCTGACTTTGGTGTATGTGTTCTCTTCACTACATTAAAATGTCTCTTACATGCTCCAAGAATTAATCAATAAATAACATTATTGGACTTGAGCAAAGTTTAGATTCTTCTATTTCTGGAAAAAGAAAACAGGAATAAATCCATATGCATTTTCCCTTTAATTATAGATACCATGGCATGGCAGTGGGCGATAATTAACTTACCTACCTCTGTTTTAAATGTTAGAAACATTGTTTTTATTGACTAAATCTTCCATTTTAAAAAATCTATCAGGAGAGCTACTTTAATAATCAATTATAAAAATGCTAATTCATTGTTAAATTATATAAACACAGAATGGGTATACTATATTTAAGTATAGAGTATCAATAATAATACACCAATGTGTCATTTTTTACATTAATTTCATATAAATAAGGCCAGACAAAATTTTGCTAAAACTATCCTCATCTTACCAACAATCTTTATTTAATTATTTAACATTACTTGTTATTATTATTGTTTAATTTGACCAGAGAGAGAGAGAGAGAGATAGAGAGAGAGAAAGGGAAAGTAAGAAAACAAACTGCTTGGTCCAGGTCTCGAACTATGGTCACCATGCCACCTGCTGGCCTCACCAACAATCGTTTAACTGCCCTTAAAGTCTTCATTGTTAGACTCCAATATCCAACACCTAGCAGACTGCCTGACACACAATAAGAAATCAGCAAATGTTTGTTATACTGTTCTATCAAAAATATTCCAGGGAAGACATATACTAGCCTGAATATTTAGAAATGTCTTCTTTTATTCTCAGACTCTCAAGGGATTTATCACATTTATGGTTGAGAAAAAGAATGTATCAGTAAGTGTACCAAATTCTATAAATCATTCATTATCATATAAAAGATTTAGAGATTTTAAAATAAATCAATATTATCCTGAATATTATCCCAGTTAGCAAACTGTGATGTAGGAATATTTATATAAATATTTGACAAATACCTCTAAAATACAGGGTCCTGAGCAAGGAATTTGTTACATTCACCACTGTATTTCTAGGGTCTAGTAAATACCTGGCACACAGCAGATACTCAATATGTTTTGAACTGTTAAATTCATGACATACAGAGATGAGTACAATAACACGAGCCGAAACATAAAACATATATATACAAAGCAAATTTCTGAAAATAAATACAAATACATTTCCCAGACCAAATGTGGCCTAAATTTATACTACCTGTGATTAGGATTTACTTTCAGAGAAGAAGATCTGGGTGGGCAAAGATTAGCTCCATTTTGATGGGACCAGCAGTTAGCACAATGGCTATGTCGCTGGACTCCCACGTAGTAGTCGACTGCGGTTTGTGTCGCAGACCCGGTGGCTTAAAACTCATGCTGGGCGTGTGTGCATGCATGCCCAAGATCCCGAGAGGAGAACAGATGAGAAGGAATTGAAGCGTGGCCATCCCCCCTGGGGGGTGATTTCTCGCTTTCTGTCTCTGTCTGTCTGGCGAGCCCACGTGCCCTACGGCAAAAACCTCTCAAAAAAAAGATTAGCTCCATTTTGGAAACACTGCATTTAAGGAGCCTGTGCGTGTCAAGTGGAGAGGCACAGCAGGCACACTGGGGACTCAAGTCCAGAGGTCAGGGGTGGCCACGGGGGGACGGGCAGCATACACGGAGGAAGTTCAGACTCAAAGAAAGAGAAGAGTCGTAGGATGGAGCAGTGAGGAGCCCTCAGGTAGAAGGGCAAGTGCTTACAGAAGACAGCAAGAGAAGGAAAACGGCGTGTGCTGTGTCACAGTGCCAAGGGGAGAGGCAATTTCTAGTTCAACCCTACAAGCCGGTCAAGCAAAATGAGGACTAAAAATGAAGAAATTGAAGTCAGCAGCACAATGGCAAAAACAGTTTGAGTCAACTGGTGGGGGGCGCAAGGCGAACTGGAGCGGATTATGGAGGGAGTGATGTGGGCAGAGAAGTGAACATACTGACAAAGGAGAAAATAGAGCAAGTGCTAGAAGGGAATATGGGATTCAGTGATGATTTTTAAATTGTTTATCGGTTAGTCCTGTCTACACATCCATGTCTCCATTTAAAAAATTACAATTTGGGAGACTAGCCATGCTTAAACGGTGACAGGGAAGGCAAAGAGGAAGAGGCTGAAGAGGAGGCAGGCAGTTTCCACACTTAGCCTGAAAACCAGAGGCAGAGTAGGAAAGGAACAAAATGAAACTCAGTCCTAGGAAAATGGCATTATGAGATAAGTGAGTTGGTCTAATTCAAGAAACAAACAAAAGCCAATAAAAATAAAAAATAAAAAGAAAGCTAGCTAATCAAAACAGAAATGGTACAACAGGAATATTTTTAAAAGGTAGAAAGGGTCTTCCTAGGGCGACTTGCTGAAGAGATATGGGGTAGAATCAGGAGAGCAAAGGACCATTAAACCTGAAGCCTGGCGTGACAGCCTGTCTCCAGGGACTAAGAGCAAGAATGAGCTGGGCGTCTTAAGTGAAAGAGGGAAGTCACCACAGAGCTTAATCGCTAGGTTACACAGAGCTGGGCTATACTCAGAGAATAAGGGAACTGATCAATTACTTCTCTGCTTCGAGTTGAACACCAATATTTTGTTTTTGCATCCAAACAACTAACTACGTGAAGATGATGGTCTGTGATTGGAACTAATTTTGGTTCCCTAGAGGGGTGGCTGCTGACATGACTGCCAAAACAAACAAACAAACAAACAAACAAAAACACAGGTCTCTCTTGAGTAGTGAACCTGGCCTATTTAATCACAGTGTTTCTAATCTGTATTACTGTGTTTAAGACTCATCATCAATTCTGACTTTTCTTTGTTTTGCTTTGTTTGGGATCTAACATTTTGCTATTCCCCAGGGCCAAAGTCTGGTTCCACCATTTGTTATCCTAACCACAGTTACATGAAGACAGAAATCACTTCCATTTTATTTATCATTGTGTTGTCCGTACCTATTATGTCAGAGTAGGTCAACAAGTCTCTACTGAAAAAGTGAAGCGAATGTTAAAGATTTAACAAAGAGAACCTCTAGTTTTTATCATTTCAGTACTTACCTTGTTTACCAAGGATTGCTTATTGGCAATATTCCAAAAGCAATCAGCAATAGATACACTCATGTATAACCTAAGAATGATGTGTTTTACAACAAAGCCCTTCACCACAAAAATTTTACTGTGATTCTGTATTCTATACCAATAATGTCCTGGATAGAGGCAAAATTGGCCTTCAAGTTTATTCAGGCGTCTTCAATGACCAGGAGTATAAAAAGCATAATGTGCGGCTAGCAGGTGGCATGGTGGCTGGGGCACTGGACTCCCACATGGCTGATAGTGGCTTGAGCATTTGGACCCGGCAGCTTGAGAATCACGCCACACACGTCTGCATGTGTGCCCAAAAACTCCTGAGAGGAGAGCAGAGAGGGAATTGCAACATGACCAACCCCCCACCCTGCCACCAGGGCTGAACTGCAGTAAACTTTTGATGGCTGTATCAGAATACTGTTTTATTCTCCTCTCACAGGATGGTCCCATGATAATTTTTAACTAAAAATCTCTAGGCATTCACGTTCAAAATGCTCCCCTGGGCAAACATGCACAAAAGTTCATCAGCCATGTGGCACTGTCCTGGGAAGTGTTTATCCCGTAACTTTTCATCCTTGTTTACATTGTGCTATCACTAACTTCAAATTGAAATATAATACTCACTTCATCAGCCACAAACTCCTTACTCAGCCCAAAATCTGTCAGCACCACATGGCCATTAGAATCAAGTAGAATATTTTCAAGCTTAATGTCACGGTATATAATCCCCAACTGTAAAAACAAACAAATGTGCATTTTTAATGGTTTCCAAAAAATTAATTAGGACAATCTTTCTTATCGACCTTAAGAAAAAACAAACAAATAAAAACCGCATTCCTTCTTCAGGATCCTATGATGGCTCTTAGCGACTGAGGGCAAGCGTAAACACATCCATCTCAGGGCGTATGTGCTGGCTCCCTGAGCCTCTTCACCGTGACTTCATATTCTCCGTAACGTGGGCCTACCCCTGCTGGACCAGCTTCTTTAAGGCCTCCCTTTCACTACTGCTTCTTCCTGTCTCAACTCTTATTTCACTCTCACATCACATGATCTTTTGGTGCCTTCTCAGCCAAATGTCCATTACTTCCTAATAGCTTCAGAAGATCTTCCTAAGGAACTGGATCCACACTGGAAAATTCCTTGATTTTCTACCTACAGCCCCTGTGATTATATTGTAACTCATCGAAAAGCAACTGATATTTTCCAGGTATTTCCTGTTGGTCTTGATAGACTCATACCTTAGTGCTTTTTATCACTAATCTAAGATCTAACACAGTGAGTGCCATGTGTCCAACAGGTAATAAAAATGTATTGAATAACAGATTTTTAAATATGAAGGTTGACAATCATAGGTTTATTTTACTTGACTTTTGGTTTAAAAAAGGCAAAGTAAACTGATTAACAGCTCTATATTCCTCTATTTTGTTATGCATGTAAGTTTTACAGCAGAACACTTTTGATATTACTTCAGGTATATGAGATAAATAAATCTACCCAAGTTATATACAGCATATATGAACTATGTGAATTGTTTTGTGTTTTTAGTTATGACAGTCTAAATTAAAATGTTTTTAAAATGAGAAATATTGCTTTCCTCAGTTCTTAATAATCTGTGAAAAATTAAAATCAAAATTACACATAAAAAAAAAAAAACACTAGGCAATTTTCCTCCAAGAACTTCAGTGTTTTAAGATAGGAAGGAAAACACCTGGTCTTTAATGAACAGACATTTCACTTAATGTATTACACGCATCTAACAACCAGCAGTACTCTTTTTAGACAACTTCTTTGGAAGAGATTCTAGGAACAAACTATATTGCTCTCTGTTTTAACTCTTCTCCTCCATTTCTGTCTTTCCCTGTAAAACCCAGTGTTAGTAGCTTTATCAGGATTAATATTGTTGGCTTTGTGTTATACTCATGTGCATTTTTTGGGGGTAGCCAGATTAAGAGAAAGTTATCTGAGCTCTGATTTTCTGCAATGCTTTCTTTGCTGCATTCAATTACATGTACTTCTAGTATTCGTTATGTTCTCTACTTCCAAGTTTCTGACTTTTACATTAATAATACTGAATGTGCATAGGTTTGTCTTTAATAAACAGAATTAATAGTATTAAAGTCTCACATAAATTAAATGTTGAATCTTTCCAGCTCGTCCATGCGGGCTTTTCACTTGGTTTGTTTTTACCCTGGTATTTATGATGGTTCTTAGTATCATTTTTATATTATGAAAAATTATATCTAATACTCCTAATGAAATCTTTTGAAGCCTTTGCAGCTTATTCCTGGGTCCAGTTTACTTCTTGTGTCACAACACCCTAACTACTTTCTATCTCCCCAAATAACCATCAGTAACAACTGAAAGCTTGTCATTGTACTCCACTGCTACCCAAAGAAGTACCGTGTCTGTTCCTACTTCGTCCATTTGAATTCCCGCCTAATGCTCCCTCACTGCTTCCTC